TGCACTTATTTTGCTCTCCGATATCTATATAGAGATAAATATTTGTTCCTTTTCTTTGATTTTTGATTACCATTTTATGTTGATTTCAACCAACAGTTGTTTAAATATTCCAATTTCGCTAGCCTTGAAGTCGACGTTGCTTAACGTTCTCTTACAGGCAATGCTCTGAGATCACACTAAAAAGCTCAGAGAACTGAATTCAAACTATATAATAAAAAACAAACACACTCGAAAGAAACAAATTACTTATACATAGCTTAAGGTTAACTTTGGTGAGAAGGTGGCTGAAGCGGCTCTGCAGCGGCAGCAACAGACGGCGACCGTCGACGATGTAAGTAGCGCCCAAGTAACTCCCAATCACAAAGTAAACCAATCCTTATAGTCAACCAATTAGATTTCTCCACTTGCCACTTTGTTATTTTTATGTGTATTTGTTTTTTCTAAAGCAGCGAGCAAAATTATGTAGCACCTCTCTAGCTAAATTGGCAAAAAAAAAAAAAAAAAAAAAAAAATTTTCAATAACTATTCGCACCAAAAAAGAGAAAAAATGTTCTTTAATTCCAACTGTGTTAACCAATTGGCCTGGCTACTTCGTATATCTTTATGTTGCTAACATTCCATTTAAGAAATTTGTATTTGGACACTTCTTTATATGCATATCAATAAATACACTTAAATGGAGCCCTGTTGAATTCTTATGATAATCATTATTTCTTAAGATGTTTAAGGACTGTCAACTAATCTTTGACCAAACGCTAAAGCATACTTACATATAACATAATTAACTATAGTATAAACCCTTTGTTTAAAGTAAAGTATTTTGAAACTCAATCCAAGCAGTTCAGCCAAAAACAATCGAAGCTTTCCGTCAAATCCAAAAAGATTCCTAGAAATAAATGAAAATTTAAGATCAGTCTAGATAAATGATAGATCTATTAGATATTGCAATGATCATCGTTCCTCTTTGCTTTAGATAGTGAAAAGTCGGAAGCCCTGCTAAGTTTCGATCTTGATAGATCGAGTCGTCTGTTGATGCTGTTTAAGAATAGTTTTATAATGTGTATTTTAGATATGTATATAGGACCAGAGACTTCTTTGTCTATAAATTTGAAAATATGATATTTATATGTATACATATATACATATCTTTATAAGTATATGTATATATGTATATATATATTGCAAAAGCAACAAAAAAAATAATAAATAAAAGAAGTCGAATGAAGACAAATGGCTGTGAGGAATTCTTAATCAAACGAATCATTCAAATGGGCTCCAACAACCGCAACACCAACATTCACATATTTTCACGAATATATATATTTTTCAAAAGGTGTTATACAAAGCTTAACCATTCACAGACAATGCCATCGGCCATCAGCGGCGGGGCGCATGGCCAGGTGCATATACCCAGCAATGAGGAGTGCGGCATCCGGGACGTGTGGAAACATAATCTGGAAGAGGAATTTCGCACCATACGAAAGGTAGTTCAGAAATATCATTTTGTTGCCATGGACACGGAATTTCCAGGCGTTGTGGCGCGACCCGTTGGTGAATTTCGATCGACCGCCGATTATCATTATCAATTACTGAGATGTAATGTCGATTTGCTGAGAATAATACAGCTAGGCCTCACGTTTATGGACGATGATGGTAAGACGCCGCCCGGCTACTCCACGTGGCAGTTCAACTTCAAATTCAATCTAAGGTAAGGTGGACGTGTTAGTAGAGGTAATCCCCTAACTATGTTACTCTATTGCAGCGAGGATATGTATGCGCAAGACTCGATAGATTTGCTTCAGAATTCGGGAATTCAGTTTAAGAAACATGAAGAGGACGGCATTGATCCAATCGATTTTGCCGAGCTGCTGATGAGCTCGGGCATTGTGCTGATGGATAATATCAAATGGCTTTGCTTTCACTCCGGCTACGATTTTGGATATCTCCTGAAGCTGTTAACCGATCAGAATCTACCCGCGGACGAGAGCGACTTCTTTGAGTTGCTGCATATATATTTTCCCAATATCTTCGATATTAAATATTTGATGAAGTCATGTAAAAATCTGAAGGGCGGCCTGCAGGAAGTTGCCGATCAGCTGGAGCTGCGACGCGTCGGTCCACAACACCAGGCCGGCTCGGATGCGTTATTAACGGGCATGGCTTTCTTCAAAATGCGTGAGGTACAACACACATATGGTTTTCACTTTGTCATTGAAGAGCCTTGCGAATTCTTTCCCCATGTGCTTGAGCATAACATGCAACTTAAGTCGGTTGTTCTGGTCAGTTTGCGAAGCAATAATTTAATTGCAGTCAACAAAAGCTGCTGCGACGACAATAGCGACAAAAGCAGCTTGAGCAGTCCCCGTAGTACAACAACGACGACGACGACGACGACGACAACAACAGCTAAGACGAACGGCGACAGCCTAAGCATGTCACAAATAATTTCACGCTCTCAAGCCGTAGGCTTTACCATCACAGTGTATACACGCACCGTCACACCACCGCTATCGTCTGGTGAACAGAGCCTCTTGGGCAGCTCAAGCAATAGCAGTAGCAGCAGCCTCAACAACACGGAATCTTAACGTTGCAAGTGTTGCTGTGACTGCTGCCACGGGCTATGTTGTTGAAGTTGTTGTTGTTGTTGTTATTGCGCGGATGCATTGCAAATAACTTGCTTCTTCATTAACCACTTACATTTATCATTTGTTAAGGTTTAATGTTTCAAAATCACATTATTTTTTACTTTCAACAATTGTTTCCTTATTTCTCTCCTTATGTACATAGTCCTTCTTTCTCTCCTTCTATTTTGTTTTTTTTTTTTTATCATTTCTTACGTACCTATAATACTCCTAATCAGATATTAGACGTCGCTGGATACATACGAAATACATTTTATTTGTTATGCTGCATGCAACGCACTTTCATCGGCTAAAACCTAACCCAACACAATTTTTGTAAAAATCCAAACTTTACTTCTTGATGAAGAAAACACAAACATAAAAACTCATTTTCTAACCATTTTTAGTTAGTTACAGTTGTAAAAAAAAAAAAAAAAAAAAAAAGAAATCATGTGAAACATGTTGTTAATATTTGAAAAAAAAAAAATTTTAAAAAATTAAAAATATGAAGATATTAGTGCAACGAGCTAAGTTTTCTGAAATTTGAATAGAAAATTAAAACAATGAATTGAAATTTAATAATTTTCTTTTTCGTTATTGTTAATAATTTCTGGTTTCTGGGCTTTACGTACACATTGACACATATCATATCTATTTTTTATGTATTTTGTATATCAGAAATATTTTTTAATCACTATCATCTGCTTGCACACATTTGCTTAACAACAAAACATTTTGCTTTAGTACTTTATTTATTGCTTACAAATTTGCATCTGAACTCAACAAATTTATATATTATTTCGGTATTTGATAGTGATAACAAAAATATTAGTATACATAGTTAATTTTTTTATAGCTTTTTTAAAATTATCTAGTAAAAATTATTTTGTGATACAAGGATAAAATATTTATGAAACAGTAAATATAAATACTTCCTTTCTTATTTTAAGTAAAGCTGGTTTAAGCTGGTGCTTGAATTATTTTTAACAATTTTGTGTCTAATACCAAAGCGTATGTTCTCTTTTTCGTTATACTTTTGAGTGAATTGGTATAATGTTTTCATAAAGTTTTCATTGCACTGTGGAATGTTATTTATAGCAAGTGTTTAACCCGTTAAAAAATAGTTTTACAAAAAATCGTTTGATCAAAGCAAAATTAAACAAAAAATATATATAATTTCGACATCACAAATTGGTAAATGGTATGTAACTTGAAATTTATTTATCTATCTAAAAATATCTTCTTGTGTTCTTCAATTTCTTCTTGTAGCTGCACACTTTACACACACATACATATTTGCGTATATCATATCATCTGTGTTTGTTCATGTTGCTTATCATTCGTTCATGCCTTACTAACTCATTCTAAAATTTAAATTTCAAATAGTAAACTGTTCTACACCTATGTGCAACTGTTATATTTGTCGAAACTGTTATTAAATATTATATATTTGCAGATGTTCTTTGAGGACAACATCGATCATGCGAAATATTCGGGTCATCTGTATGGCCTGGGCACTTCGTTTATTGTGAATGGCACCAATTTCCATGAGAGCAACGGCGAATCAAACAGCGCCTCATGATTCATACTGATGAAGAACGCCGTCGTGCATGACTAGAAATTCGAAAAAGCTGCTGGAGCTACTGTCGCGTCTCTCCTCCCAGCCCAGTTATGAGCAGGAGGTGCTGATTATCCTCTATTTTCAACCACAAAAACAATATGAATAGTTAACCAATCTAAAACACATCCGTAATAATGCAATCGCAATATCAAATAATTTACTTACAAGAGATTTTCTACGCTTCTAAAGAGAATTTCCCACTCTGTAGATGTTTTACAACAAAAATTTAGAAATTATAAAAAAAATGAGAAAAGAACAAAGAATACATCAAACCGAAAATAGAAAAATACATAGTAAAAACTAAGCGATACAGAGTTAATGAAATAAAACTGGTAAGGAATCATTTTCAAGATCTATGTCTTAAATGTGTTAAGATAAAAAATTATAAAACATATGTAAGCTAATAATATGTATAGGCCAACATGTATTTGTATAAAAAAAAATCAATCAAATTAATATATTTAAAAGTTTATAAAGTAGAACCTAATTTGAGCACTTTATTACGCAGTTTAGCAGACTATTTAATACAGGCTTCCATTTGTGGAGTGTTTAAATTATTCAGCTTTAACTCACCGATCAAATCCTTCCTTTTCCCCAAAGCAAATGAACAGTTGAGCATATTGTGTCCGCTTTTTATACAGGAATCTGTATGCAGTTAGTTTACATAGCAAATTTATGTTAAGCAAATTATTATCGGGCACAGGTTAACATCTTTTTATCGATTTGTACTCGATACCTGGGATTAGTCAATCGATGTGGCGATAGCACATCACTAGCGTTGGTTTTTGTTGCATACAAGAGACGGATGGGCTTCCGTAAAATATAAAAGAATACAAGTTATTTAGACTTTAGTTCAATGTATTTAATCAATTCAAGCGCTTCTTTTCTTATACGTTGTGCTAGTTTTGATATCTTTACGGTCGTGTGTGATGGGTGCTCAGTGAAAGTGAAGCTGCAGGCCTTACCATATCCATGTCCGCGGCAGCCGCAGCAACAACAAAAGCCAAACGAAAGAAAAGTGAAATTTGAGCAAAAGGAATAGCGCATGCTAGTCTAGAAATAACAAAGCAATGGAAAATTTGAAAATTAGCGACAAGCTATTCGAGGATGTGATCTATTATGTGCTCGGCAGCCTTGATGATGAGGTAAACATTGAGACTTCTCAGACGAAGACTCCAGGGCTGTACGTGCGCGCCCGCTGTTGTATTATTTGTCATTGTGTGGTTGTGTGCGTGTGTGAGTGTTACATGTGTACGCGCGTGTGTTACTGATGCAGCTGTACAGGCCACAGGGCGACTTTAACTAATGCAATTAACAATTATACATTAAACGTGCTTTTTGGACATCAAAACAATACATTTATTGTTGATTGCATCTCGAAGACGAATTAATCAGTGCTGATAGCACAGGGAGTTTCATGTTTGTGCATGTCCAAATTCGCGCCATAAAATGTTGCCGGCAAATTTCTAGACATATGAGTGTGTGTGTGTGCCTAGATAGAGATGAGCGATATATTGCGAAATGTGATTAGCAAAATGTATATGAATATTTATTTATAATAGCTCTAAATTTTCATTAGATTTTTAAATTTTGTTGAATATTAATATAATTACTTGAATGTATTAATTAGAGATGTATATTATATTGGAGTGGAGCGATATTTTGGCGAACTAATGATAGCGAAATTGATATGAATATCAAAATATTTAAATGTTCAAATACTTTTTATACCCTGAACCCATTGAAAATGAGAAATCAGGGTATAATGGTTTTGTGTAATTTATTATTAATTTGAATAAGTATGGAAATTGTCCTGCGTACAATATTAAATTTTGCACGATTTGAAACTGAATAAATCTCTTATTTTTGTTACTTTTTGCAGAGTGAGCGCTTGCTTAAGAACGGCGGCGCACAATCGAAGCTTTTCCTCTCCGACCAAATCACGCATTTGATATGTGCCAGCAACTACTCCGAAGAGGAGCTGTCCATGAATCTGGACCTTTACAATGTGATACCTGTGATTGAGCAATGGATATTGCACAGCGTCAAACTAGGTCGCATGGCCTCGACGCGTGCTTTCGATCCCAGCCAGCCGCGTTTCTTGCGCGGTATACGGGCAGCCATTACGAACGTGGTGCCCAGCGATCGGAGGCGTCTCTATGCCATGCTGACCTTCCACGGAGCCGTTGTCACCAACACATATGGGGCGACCAATACGCATCTGGTATGCGGCGCCGCCACTGGGACCATTTATAATAAAGCGCTGGCGCTGCCCAAAAATGCGATGAATATCGTTACACCCGATTGGGTCACTGATTGCATCAAATGTAACAGCTGCCTGCCCTGCGAGCCCTACCATCCCAGATTGCTGAAACCAATCGAGAAGCAACGTGCGCAGAAGCAGCAGCAGCAGCAGCAGCAGCAAAATCTACAGCTACAGCAGCAACAACAACAGCAGCAGCAGCAATTACAACAGCAATTAGCACAGCAGCAGCAACAACAACAACAGCAACATTTGGCTCAGCAATTACCACAACAACAGCAGCAACAACAACCGCCCACAGCAGCTTCTCAGCTCTCTGATATACTGGGCTTCGGCGATGACAGCGCTGCCAAGAGCATAGCCAGCATTAAGTCCCAATTGCAGGCATCGGCAGAGCGCGCCGCAGCCGAGCAACAACAACTACAACAGCAGCAGCAACAACAACAACAACAACAATTGCCACAGCCAGCGCAGCAGCAGGTTGTTTTTGTGCGGCCACGCAATCTGCAGCAGCAGCAACAATTGCAACAGCAATTGCAGCAGCAGAGCGCACCACAAGCGCCACCGCCACCTCCGCCGCCCAATCAACAGCAGCAACAGCAAATCATAATACAACAACAAAAAATCATACCAGCCAACCTACAGCAACATCAGCAGCAACAACAGATCAAGCACATCTTGCAGCAGCAGAGGCAAATGAAGAGTACACAGCAGCAGCAGCAACAACAGCAGCAGCAGCAGCAACAACAGCAAATGCAGCTGATGCAGCAACAGGACCAGCAGCAGCAAATTATGCTTCAGCAACAGCAACAACAACAACAGGCACAACAACAACAACAGCCACGTCTGCCTACCACGCCAACCATGACCCAACCATCCATGCCCAGTGGACGCCAAACTCCGCGCACGCCGCAGCCTGCAACAACACCGCAGCCCGTGCAGTCGCCGCAGCAACAGGTGTCACAACAGCAACAGGTACCTCAACAGCAGCAACAGCAACAATCGGTGCCCGTCTCGCCGCAAGCTCTGCATCAGCACATCATGAAACAGCAGCAGATGCTACAGCAGCAACAAATGCAACTGCATCAACAGGTTCAAAATGGCCAAAGCCTGACATCACAGCAACAGGCGCTGCAACGGCAAATACAGCAGCAGCAACAGCAACTGTTGCAGCAGCAGCAACAGCTGCAAATACAAATGCAGCAAATGCAACAGCAACAACAACAACAGCAGCAGCCACAGCAGCAGCAATCACCACGCTTGGTCCAAAATCGTTCGCCGGTCATGCCACCCGGCACACCGTCACCTTCGCTCCAGCAGCAACAGCACTTGAGCAACATGTTGCCGCCTCAGTCGCCGCGACAACTACAGTCGCCCGCGCCACAAATGACTCCGCCACCGCCACCCTCGCCACAAAGTGCGCAGCAGCATTTGCGTCAGCAACAGCAACAATTGCAACAGAGTCGCCAGCAGCAGCAACCACACATGATGGGAAGTCCGCAGCAACAGCCGACGCCAACATCCATAATGTCGCCACAGCAGCAGCCCTTCCAACAACCTGTGCATCAGCAACAACGCATGCAACTGCAGCAGCAACAGCAACAACAGCAGCTTGCACAACAGCAACAACAGAGTCCGCAGCACATCTCAGCGCCGCAATCACCGCAGATATCACAAACACCGCCCATGCCCAACAAGCAACAGCAGCAGGCAGCACAGCATCAGCAGCAGCAACAACAACAGCAATCATTTGTCCAACCCATCGATCCAACAGATCCGGTGCAAGTGGCTCAAGTGCTCAGTCGTTCGACGCTATCAAGCAATCAGGATTCGCTGATAATGCGGCAGCAGCAGCTGAAGCAACAGCAGTTACAGCAGCAGCAGCAGCAGCAACAACAGCAGCAGCAGCAACAAATGCCGACACAACAACACACTCCTTCGCCACGACAATCACCACTGCATCAGCAACAAGCAACGCAACAGCAGCAACAACAACAGCAACAACCAGAGAGGGTATGTCTAGCAAAAGGATTTCCAAAGTGAACCTGAAATATGAATAATATATACTCATCTGTATTTTTCTTTCTAGCCTTTACAGCAAATGCAAGCACAACAGCAACAGGCGCAACAAATATCACAACAATTCGCCTCTGGACAACAGCAGCAGCAACAACAACAGCAACAAGTCATCACTCAACGACACGTGATAAACACTTCAACTGCACAGGGACAACAGATAATTCAGAGTCACATGATGAGCATACAGCAACAACAGCAGAAGCAACAGCAAATGTTGCAGTTGCAGCAGCAACAACAACAACAGCAGCAGCAACAACAACAGCAGCAGCAGCAACATCAAATGATACCTCAGCAGCAGCAGCAACAGCAGGCACAACAGCAGCAATTGCCACAACAACTGCAACCACAGCCGCAGCAGCAGCAACAACAACAAGTGCAGTTCACGCAACAGCAAAATATTGCGCTTGGCAGTGGTGGTCAAGTGCGTATTATACAACAAACGATACAGCCACCGCAACAGCAGCAACAGTTGTCGGGGCAACAGTTTACGCAGCAGCCACAGCAGCAACAACAGCAGCAAGTGTTGACACAGCAGCCGCAGCAACATGTAAGCTTACATATTACTCAGTTGTTGAAATGTCTCTAATACACTTTCTATTCAATCTGTTTTTAGCCACTGCAACAACAACAACAGCAACAACAACAACAACAACCACAGCAACCCATGCAAACCAAAAAGTTTATCATAAGTCAGCAGCAGTTCAGCCAGCTCAGCGCACAGCAGCAACAGCAGATTTTGGCACAGAATCAGCAAAACCAAAATGTGTTCATAGTAAATTCCACGAATCTGTCGCAACAACAACAGCAGCAGCAGCAACAGCTTGTGCAGCAACGACAACTATTGCAGCAACAACAGCAGCAGCAGCAACAACAACAACAAATGGCACCAAATCAAATGATGTTGGCACAGCAGCAACAATCGCCGCAGCAACAACAGGCGCCTCCACAAATGCAACAGCAACTGCTCACACAGCAGCAACAACAGCAGCGGCTGCAAATGCAACAACAGCAGCAACAGCAGGCGCCACAACAGCAACAGCAAATTGTGATTAATCAGCAAGTCATCAGCGATCCACAGCGCTTGCAATATTTACAGCAACAGCAATTGCTACAGCAGAAACAGCAGCAGGCGCAGCAACAACAGCAACAACTTGTCGGACCACCACAGCAACAGCAGCAAATACTTATACAACAGCAACAGCCAGTGTCACAACAGCAACAGCAGCAACAGCCTCCTCAGCAGATCATGCAGCAAGTGCTTATTAAGCAGCAGCATCTACCACAGCGAACGCCACCGCCTCAATCGCCACAGCAACAACAGCAACAGCAGTTGATGTTGCAGCAGCAATCGCCTCAGCATCACACGCAACTGCAACAGCAGCAGCCGCATTGGTCGCCGCAAAGTCCTGTGACAAATCAGTTGGCGCCCACCACACCAGGCACGCCCACCACAAGCATGGGAATGCAATCGCCCTTACCGGGCACACCCACTACGCCCCAGCAACAAGCGCCACAATTTGCGCCACGTGGTCTGCGCCCACAGACACCATGGTCCGCACAGCAGCAGCAGCAACAACAACAACAGCAATCGCAACAGCCGCAGCAGCAGCAGCAACAACTAGTGCTACCACCGCCGCAGCAACAGCAGCAGCAGCGCCAACTGATCCAATTGGACGAGAAGATGCATGCGCACTTCATGTCGCTGGATGCGCACAAACGTGCCGAATACATAACGAAACTACATCAGAGCAAGCCACGTGTCATGCTGCGCCAGCAGGTGGCCTATCAGCCGCGTCCCGGCGCACCGGGCAGCGTGGTGGCGACACGTGCACAGGGCCCAGTGCCGGTGCCGGGGCCAGGCACTTCGCACATCATTGTGCAGAGTCAAATGCCAGGCGGACTCACGCAGCAGGAACAAATGCTGTGGCTGCAGCAGCAGGGCACGCGTCAGGTGGTGGTGCGTGCTAGCGGAGCGCCCGGTCTAAGTCCGATTACGCAGCAACAACAACAGCAGCAACCGCCGGGTAGTGCCCAGCAACAACAGCAACAACTACCTCAGCAACAGCAACAGTTCAATCCCAATGATCCCAATCAGCAAATGTTGTTGCAGCGCCAACAGCTGCGCGTTCAGCAAATACCCATGCAAGCGGCGCCGGCGCCGCAGCTGGGCAAGCAGACGGTGCAGCTGATACCCGGACCCAATGGCCAGCTCATCGAGCAGCAAACCATTGTGCAGCAGCAGAGCCAACAGCAACAGCAGCAGCAGCCGCCTCCTACACTGGGTACGCCCAACACTCCTGGCGGTGCGCCAGGAGGCAATATAATGACCCAGACATTGGTCATGTCAGCAACAGGTGAGTTCGTAATTAGATTGAATTGGATTTAGTGGCTAATGCAGTGTCTTCTTTTGTTGCAGCTCCTGATGGTCAGCAACAACAGCAACAGACACCACAGCAAATGAACCTAAAGACGAAAACGGCGTTGGCCAATATGCTGAGCAATCGCCTGGGCAACAATGGACAACAGGCGCCGGCACAACAACAGCAACTTATTTCCATGAGCGATGTACAGCAGCAACAGCAGCAACCACATCAACAGCAGCAGCAGATTGTGCAACAGGTTGTTGTCGGCGGCGGCACAACACAGCAGCAGCAACAATTACTACTGCAACAGCAGCAGCAACAACAGCTAGTTGTGGCACAGCAGCAACAGTTGCCGTCTGGACCGCAGCAACATGTGGAGACACCATCTGCAGCTGGCACATTGCGCATGATGGGACAACAGCATAATGCTGCTGTGGGCGTGCCCGGCCAGCCTCGCACACCGCAGGAGCTGCTGATGCTGCAGCAACAACAGCAGCAACAACAACAGCAGCAGCAACAACAACAACAGCAATTGCTGCAACAGCATCCACAGCAAATGCGACGCGTTGTTGGCGTGTCACAGCAACAGTTGCCGCAACAACATCTCGTGCAACAACAAATCGTGGTTGCACCGCCCAACATGCAGCAACAACAGTTGCCAGTGGGCGTGCCCGTACAGGTAGCCGGAGGACCACCGCACGTCTACATGCAGGTACGTCCCGGCCAACCGCCCATTCCGATGCCACCGCGGCCCCAGTTCTATGGCCACAATCCGAACCTGAAGCTGCCCCCCGATCTGTTCCTGGTCGGCTGCACCTTCTACATCGTGGAATATGACGAGACGGACAGCGATGAGCTGCCCATCTGGCTGGACACCATTCGACAGTTTGGCGGGGACATCGAACGCGTTTATTGCGCCCGCGTCACCCACGTCATCTGCCGCACCCAGCGCCATGGCATGGTAATGCAGGCACTGCGCGATGCCAAGCGCTGTGTGACCGCCTACTGGCTGAGCGATATCTGCCTGAAGCGACAGCTGACGCCACCCTGGCAGCCCCTGCATCTGCCCTTCCCCAGTCAGTTTGGCTATCGCAAGCCGCTGGAGCGCTACATCATCACATCGGAGGGTTTCGAAGGCGAGGAGGTGGTGCGATTGCAACAGATGGCCGAGGAATGTGGTGCCATTTACACTTCCTATCTATCCAAGGTGAACACGCTCGTCGTCTGCAAGCAGCTAGAGGGCAACAAATTCAATGCGGCCAAAGAGTGGAATATTCCGATGGTGAATGCCCTCTGGCTGAGCGATGTCTGTATCGGCAATCTGAGTGGTTTGACCCAGTACGAGAACCCCAAGTACCAGCAGTACAATCTGGCCGCACCATTCCGTATTGAATGCAATTTGGTGCAGCATTTGCTAGGTGAGAATTAAAATGATATTATTCATATAAAATGATGGATTAAATGTCGTCTCATTGCAGCCGCTTGGAAAGCGCCCATTAATTTGACCCAGGAAGCACATGAACGCGTCAAGCGCCATCTTTCCGATCCGTATGCTAACGAGCAGAAACTGAAACGCCAGAAATTGTGCGTCTACCAGGAGCATCTGCCCGAGCAAATTGTTTGCATTGAATATCCGCAGACAACCAAGCCGCCCAAGGTCATCTTCTCACAGGTCGCCGATGCGGAGGCGCTCAAGAAAGCTGTCGAGTAAGTTGATGAATGCTAAACTAACAAATTAATGTATTAATACGTATACAACTTTCTATTTTCTGCAGACTTCTGGGCGGAATTGTGGTGGACAGTCCGACGGATGCAACACACTTGGTCATGACACGCGAGAGCCGAACCTGCAAGTTGATTCAGGCCTGTTGCCACGTTGACTACGTGCTCAAGTCCACCTGGCTGATAGATAGCGCAAAGGCCGGCAAATTTGTGCCGCCTGACGAGTATCGCATTCGCCACATACCCGTCGATGAGAACTTGCAGTTCGATTTGGATGCCGTTCTGTGTGCGCCGACACGTTCCACACTGTTTGCGGGCAAATACTTCTATGTGACGCCGGATGTATTTCCGGCACGTGATGAAATCATACGAATGATCGAATCGTCTGGCGGCAAAGTGGAGCTCAAACGGCGCAGCGGTGCGGCTGTGGCTGAGGCGCATGTGCAAGCGCCCGACTCATATATAATTGTTACCTGCCCAACGGATATGCACTTGTGCGCGGATCTGACGCGTCATGGCAATCCCAAGTGTCATATTGTCTCCACGGAGTTTGTGATGAGCTCCATACTGCGACAGCAGCTGGAAATCGAACCCAACTTGATACCTTATCTGTACAACAACAACATTTCCAACAGCAGCAACAACAACAAATCCTAGCGACAAGCTGTCTTCGTTTATTTTCTGCTAACAGCTTGATCCACATCTGTACCCAAACATCATCAATGAACCAACTTTTTCATCGAGCCTGTGAGCTGTGAATGCGAGTCTAGTCCGCTGATTGCATCAATACTGATGAAAATTGGGCACGCATCGTTTAGATTTATATATATTTCGTGGATCGTTATCAAGACAAATTGATAAAAACTCTGCTTTGTTTTGTAAGCACCTCAAACTCAACCGTTGATGGCAGTTCAGCTGCGAATCGAGTCATTTAAAACAATCTATCACATCTATATATTAGCTAGTTACAATCTAACTGTAAGAAAAAAGTACATTTATATATATGTATTGAGTATATATACATATATCTATATATTTTTGTAAACTAGATTTAAGAATATATATCTGTATATCTATATATATATAGGCGTATACGAAACGTTTCACAGAAATTTCAATCGGCTGGCTATTAGAATTTTAAGCACTTTTTCGACTTGGATAAAGTCCATGTTGTTCAAGTCAACTCAATGTTAGTTAGGTATACTCAACAAATAAAGCTTATGTTATGTATGTAAAATAAACGAGTTTTCTTTTCAATCCGATGCGCTTTGCTCATAAATTTGGCGACAATTTAGTGCAGCTTTTTTGTAAATTTAAAAAACGTTGCATTAAATAGGCCAACTAAAGTTAATAAAAATAATCCATATTGTTAATCTTTAACATCCCATCAAGGTCATAGATGTTTTCAAATTCCTGATGCGATATTATTTTAATTTATTTTTCTAAACAAAATTTTAAGGAGATAGTACTCTTTAAATGTATTTTTTACCAGATATTAAATGAAAAATATATATATATATATATTTATAATATAAATAAATAATTTAGTCTTGCTCAAGGACTTGGCACTTTCGAAGAACCTAAGAAAACTTTGTCAACTAAGTAGTCGTGTCTAAACTGACTTACCAAGCTCATTTAAAAAATTCAAAAACATATTTTCATTTTTCAGCCAGATAGTATATTCTGATTGATAATAAATTGAAAGTATTTAATCCAGTGCATTAGTAAAATTAATAGACAATACCTCGTATATAAATTTCGCGAAGTTAAACAATATATTTATGCAGGGGACTATTAGTATTTTCAGATGTCACAATATTACATTTAGAAAAAAATCACTTTTATGTTGACATTCGAGAAGTTAACTTCTAACATATTAAAGTTGTCATTTTGACATGTCAATATCCACCGCATTTGTTGATAGATAACAGAATTCGGAAGTTCTGTTATCTGTTATCCAGATAACAGAATTCGGAAGTTCTGTTATCTATCAAAAAATTTTGACACAATTTTCCTGACGAATTAAAAAAAATATTCCTATATTACATTCATAAAGCATTTGGAATGCCTGCTTTATTATAAATTCTATTTGTTGTTGTACATGGAGGCTATAGCCGGATCCTCTGTCTCGTAGAGGATCAGAACGTCGCGGAACTTGTCGAGCAGCTGCAGCAGCTGAGAGCGACGCAAATTCTCGAAATACATAATTTCTTCCAGGTGATGCTCGCTCTTGAAGTATCCCATCTGGTAGAGCTTGACCAGCAGCGACAGATCGTCCAGGTTCAGGGAGGCGGGTATACGACGTATAGCAGCGCGATCCGCATCGTTGAAGACCTGCAGCAGTTCCTTGAGTTTCTGCTCATCCTCCATGGAGTCGAGACTGTCACAGTTGTCCGTGCTCATGGAGGCCGTCATGCTGAAGTTCGACTTGTGGCTGGACGAGGGCTGAACCGCAATATTATCGGAGGCGACGGAGAAGTGATCGTCCGTCATATGGCGACGATGCGAATTCACGGGCATAGGCAGCGGCTGGCTGGACATGCTAAGCATGGAGCCACCGTGCATGGGATCCTCATCTGCAACGCGGCTCATCGTTTCGTCTTCGGTGTGATTGCTGTCCTGCTCCTCCTCGGTGAGATTGCCTGCGGCGACATGCGCACAGGAGGCGGAGTCCTCAAATTTGTCGTCCACGTCGCTGGGCATGAACTGGACGTAGGTGTGCAGCTGCATGAGCAGATGATGCTGCAGCATCCACAGCACCATCTGGGCAAGCATTCCCTGGCGTGCCGGCTGCTGCAGCGGCGTCGTCAGGTGCCCAATCGACGTGGGCAGCGAGAAGTCCGAAATGACCTCGAACAGAGACATACCCGCAAAGCGAGTGGAGAACTTCTCCACCAGGTGGGAGCGCGTGTGCAAGGGTGCATCCGGCGCGATCACATACACATTTGTCTCGCACAGCGGATAAATGATGGTGGCCTTGGCCCAGTAGACCAGGTGAGAGACCAGCTTATAGACATGCTCGATGCTAAGATCCGCATTGGAGGCCATGCTCTGCAGACTGATCAGCGGATTGTAGGCGTCCACCAGCTGCCATAGCATGCGTGCGCCCGTCGGCGGCACACAGTCGAGCAGCTCAGCAAAGTCCACCAGCAGCAGCATGCCATGATATGGCTTGAGGGCGCGCAAACAGCGATCGATTGTCTCCGGATCCACCATGCTGCCCTTCTTGTGTAACTGATGGGCCTTGGCCGGCAGGCAGAAGGTCAGTGTCAGATTCTGATTTAGTGTGGTGCTCAGCAGTCCGGTGGTGCAGAGATCATTGCAGATGGACCTCAGGGCCTGCGCCAGGGTGCAACGCTCCGCAATAAGCTCCAGCGTGCGCTCCAGCGGCTGCTGCTGCTGCTGCTGCTCGTCGTGGGTACGCGCCATCAGGGCAGTCTGCTCCGTCAGATAGCCGCTGCGCTGCTCCTCGAACTTCAGCGCCAGCCCCAGGCGCTTGCTCAGCTCGTGGTAGCACTTGACGATGGAGTAGCTAGCCTGGGCGTGCAGTGCGAACACAATGTTGATCAGCATCTGCTGCTTCTTGACCGCACCGGCTGCTGCTATGCTACTGCCGGCTGCCAGGGCTTGGCTGTTGCCCGCATTCACCTGAACTGTCGAAGCTGAGCTAATCAATGTGGGATGGCTAACGAAACGCACATCGTTCAGCTTCAGCTCGAACTTCTGGTTGCACAATTGCGGCTTGACGGCGAATAATGCAGATAGAACATCATCTGCGAAGCCCTGCAGTTGTCCTGCGCTCTGCTGATTCTGACTCTGCTGCGTAGGCGTCTGCAGCAAATCATCTGTGTGGGTGACGGCGAAGGGATTTCGTTTTTTGTTAACCAACTCCTCTCGGGGTTCTTCCAACTTGTGCGTTTGGCCGAGTGTGTGGTAGGGATACCGATACAGCAGGCGATCGCCTTTGCTGTCGAAGTAGGCAAGTATCACAGCCAGAGGATTTACTTCCATCGTGGCATTATTTATTTATTTAATCTCTCAATTACCAGCTGCTTTAAACAACAAGTTGGCAGTACCATAACAAAGAAATCCCTGCTTTCATGGCAGTGTTGCAAGTCGTTCAAATATTCATTCTGCAACACTGTTACTATATGTTTATTACAAATACGAGCTCTGTTAATTACCTAAAAGTGCCATTTGAGTAAAATGTATGGCTAACATAACCGTAAGTTAACATTCTTGCGTTTACACTAGAGCAAGAAGAAGAGTCGGAGTAACGCGGAGTGTGAAACGCGTTTAAAGGTGTTAAAACAACAAATAAATTGTTAAAAAATTGTTCTGTGCACTGTTTTCTAGTGCCACTTACGCAATGCACTAAAATGTAATGGTGAAACGCGTTAGTTTTAGCTTAAAATGTAGTTTTAAAATTTATCTTATTAGCGTGTTGGTAAAGATGAAAAACACATAGGACGTGAAAGGTAAAATGCGCATAAAACGTTAGAGCAAGCGAGATGCCATTAAAGTGTTGTAGCAGCGGTCTATATACATACTTACATTGTATATTTTTAAGCGTGCGCTTGTATGCGAGTACGAAACGAGGTACAAAATGTAAAGAGGAATTGTACAAATGTAGTTACAAATATTTTAGATCAAGTTATAGTTAATTTTTTTTTCATTGTGCATTTGACAGAAAAGTACAAAGAGTTAACATTTGAGTGTATTCGAACAACTTCTTAATAGCAGTAAACTTGCGCCGATTCGTTTCTCTAGTTGGCGGTTATGTTTGCTCTATAAAATCATATTGTATATCAATATTAAAATACTAAAAATTTTGTGTATAAGAGCCGCAATATCCGCGTATAGATTTTTATATATGTACGTAGGTACATATTTCAGTGGCGCCGTGTGTGTACATGCATGCATATATGTATGTATCGACGAACAGACAGAAAGACAAAATTAATGTACGTACAGCACTATAAAGTACACTGTGGAATGGCAGGCGCAGTAGTAATAGGCTAAAGAAAGACAAGGTAGAAGAAGCAGCAACGCGAACAAAATAAAATAGGCGATAATAGGTAGGATTTTTACTAGTTGGCATGCTTAATTCCGTATGTTAAAACGGCCACACTATATGTCGCTGTTATTATACAAGTGCGCGCGCAGCACAACACACTACAGTTATCTCACTCTGACATACGCTCAATACGTGTTTTGTGCGCATTTTCGTTGTTTCTTATGCCATACGTATTAATAATAAAATTGATTAATCAAAGTGTAAACGTTTTTTTAAGCAGGCAACAAACGTTAAAACAACGCCGCGTTCTAAAACAACAAAACCTGCAAGGCAAATTACAGTGTGTGCATTTAAATTTTGAGAAAATGTAAAAAGAAAAACAAAAAAAAAAAAACAAGCAAGTGAATGCAAAACAAAATTAAAATAATCAAGCAAAAGCAACAAATTAAAACAAAATCAGAGCTTGCCATTTAAACTAGTGTTGTGTACAATGAAGTGAAACTATATAATCATTCACGGTGAGTAAAACATTCTAAACATCAGCAATGCGCGCGTAAATTTTCGTTACTTTCGTATAGGAATGTCAGTTGGTTAATTCGTTTGTCAATTGTAAATTAAAGTACCTTCGGTCTATATGTGCTTAAAGTAAAGTCATGTATTCTTTACTAGTGCTTATGTTGTCAAATTAAATAAATAAATACAGTGCTATTGTCATATTCGGTTTTTTTTTTTTTCGCGCAGTGCGTCGCCATATTTAATTTCATATTTTTCCACCAATGTGAAAATATATTGTTCTCTGTCCCACTAACTTGTGTGGCATATAGCTTGCGCATTCGTTTGTTTTGCTTGCTATTTTCTTTTGTGCAACGTGAAGTTAGTTGTGCATAATTGAGCTCCACAGAGTTGCCAGCTATGCAAAGTAAAGTAAATAGTAACCTATGTATATACAATGTGAATAGGTGTTTTTAGTAGCATTAGTTCACTAAATATATGAAATAGAGTATTTCCTATATGGCTATATTTCGACTCCTAATTGTTATCAAGCAAATGTACTTATTAAGAAACATATGAACACAATCTTCAAGCACATTATATTTATTTCCACGCTGTATTGTTTTGACATGCGCATCAACAACGAAGCAGAATAAAATAATTTGGAACGTCTTATTTACAAAAATATTTCTTTTAAATATATGGTAGACGGATTTGCGATTTTCCGCCATTTTGAAATTGCCTTTCATACAAATTTTATATGCTAGAACAGTACCGCCGTTGCTTAGATTTTTTCTTTTCAATTTCCTTTGGTTTTCTCATTTTTGCTGTACACTCCAATCGTGTGTTATGTTTTCGTCAAATGATTTACTATCAATTCTCGCTGCTACACGCTTGTACTCCATTAAGTTGGCTGCAGTTGTTCACATTATTGGTATGTGTCTCATATGTTTGTCTCTTTTTCGCGCATAGTTCAATCTACACGCCGCCAGTGCTACTCTTTTCGCATACGTGATTTTTGCCTCGCCTGCTCTGTACGATTTTTCGCTACTTTCTGTGGTATGGGCAAAAATGAAAGCAAAAGTCGACGGACAAGTTTTTAATATGTATATTTGTATTCATTTGGCGCATACGAAACTTATATACACAAACCCCCCAGTTTAAACAATGCAATGGAAAACCAGAAAAATATTCGATATTTCAAGGGATGTCAGTATTTGCCGCAAATACACCCCCGCCAAAAATATATGCATGTGTTTAGTTGTATGTATGTATTAATACATATGCACCCAAATACACATGCATAGGTATTATAAGCGAAAGAGGATGTGCAAGAAGTTTCTAAATGTGTAACCTATTAGATTTCATACACATTTATATACATAAATATGAATAAGTAAATGTATATTTCATGAATATTTATATATTTCTTGTTAGTACTCAATATATTTTGCTTTACATTAATATCCTATACGTAGGCAATTAAACAGATGTGCAAATTGTACGAGGCTTATCCAATAGAACTATTCAAACATGCCCGCCCAGTGGGGCATGGGCATGGGCATACAAGCGTATAAAGTACGCGCGACAAATAAAAAAATAAGACGCAATTAGTTGACACTCGCAATACGGAGCCGAGTGGTGGCATCATGAACAACAAACCCATATGAAAAACACAAATACACATAGTATGTGCCATGCATAGTGTATGTGTGTGTGAGGCTGGGTGTGGGGCTGCTCATAATGTATTGATGTCTGCATAGTGGGAATGCAATGCAATGCAATGCCAAAATTAGCTAGTCTTATTGTTGTAGTCAAGTCACACGTAGTGATGCATTTATAACATTTATGAGTACGAGTACAAGTACAACTTGTTATCGATCGTTTGCTCCGATTAAATTCTCTCTCTTTTTAAATTGGGAAGCTTTGATTCGCTTTGCTGTGCTTATGACCTGACGCCGTGAGTGACAGTGCCCAACCTTTGATTTCCTAAACTGTGAGTTCTTTCTCTCTCTTTTCAACATTAGCAAGGTTTATAGAAAAGCACCGTGGTCATTCGCTGAGTTCGTATGCATGGGTACATGTGTGTGTGTGTGTGTGTGTGTTTGTATGGGATTGTGTCAATATGTTCTAATGTGCATTCAAACATGCTCTCTCGGAAGTTTGCTATTCACACACATGTACATACATATGTACATATACGCACACGAACAGCGACTTACGTGAGTGTAAATTGTTTATGGCGCGCATTTTAGAAGTTGGTTGGGGTAGGGTTAAAGCTTTTGCTAATAAATTTTTTCGCATTTACTCTTAAGTGACGTGTGTGCTCATTTGAGTGTACGCATGTGTTAGATGTGTTAGTGTGTTAGATATTGTAACTTAAATGCATGTACAACTTTTAAGTGTTGGCTTATTTTAAGATTTGCTGGCTCTTTTATACGATGTTTTATATACTTAAATACATATGTATTTACATAGTAAATCAGCACGAGTCTAAAAATTTTTTTTGCTGTTATCTTGTGGCTGTGCGCACTTTCTTGTTATTTGTCGCTGTTATTGGGAAACACAAGAAACGGAAATAATTCATGTGAGCACAACTGATTACACATATTTACATACATACATATGTATATGTAGGCCTTTAAAAAACACATACATATGTATGTGTAAACAAAAACAAAAATGAAAGATTGAAAGAATACTTGAATATTACATTACATTTAAGCATCTGCATACGCTTAAGAGTAGGCATTGCACCGTTACATAACTGACTAAATAAGCTGTTATACATTGTTAATTTGTGTTATACGTTTGGCAAAAACATTTGCATACATGCATATTTATAACACATATCATGGGGTTACATAAACACATTGACTGTGCAATTAGCATTTCGCAATGCTGGTGAATTTTGCGGTTTATTCTCTCTTTTTATTTATTTTTATGTCAATTGATGGCAAAGTAAAGGCATACACAAAACAACAACAGAATAAACACATGCATCATGCATTCAATTGAGCAGCGGTCGATGCAAATGTGTGTTGCCCTCGCTGCCTCTGTCTCAATTAGAAATGAAATTTCAATAGGCGCGCACTCAGTAACTGCGAGAGCCAAGTGCAACCTAGGAGACGAGACAACTAGCAATAGATACTGCAAACAGCAGCAGCAACAACAATGCAGCGGCAAATAAGACGATGTCGTCGACTGCCATGAATGCCGCGCCGGATGCCAAGGCAAAATTAGTGCATTCACTTTTTGCTTTGGCTTTGGCAACGGCCACAAGCAAAGCAAAACTAGAAGCAAGCAAATACATACACATGCACTTTTACAGTACGGTTTACATAAATGTGCATGTATAGTAGCTATGTGTGTAAATTGTAAATGCGAATAAGTGCAGAGAAACTGTAAAAAAAAAAAAAAAAATAAACTATAGATGAGAATCATGCTCATAGAAATGCCAAACAATGAGAAATAATCTAAATAAGATAATGCTGCTGGATGGATGTAAACAACAATCAAGCCATATAGTTTGGAAAAAACAAAAAGAAAACATAAATGAAATAAATATATAAAAGTAAAACAAATAAAAATGTTTGGAGTTCTAGAGGGAAGTTGAAACTGAAATTAAATCTCTTTCCATGTATTATAGAGTATTAATGCCTTAGTTTTAGAAGTGTCCGTAAATATGATTGACTGCCCTGAGTACTAGTTAAAATAACAGGTTTTATATACAGATGTACATATCAGAGCAAAAATGCACATTGATTCAAAGGGGCCAAAGGAAATGATGGTTTGGCTCCACTGTACTTGCGCACGCATACAAATGTAAACAATGCAGGTTCATAACGTATTTCTTTGGTCTGCTTTGACTGCTTTGGCAACTTGATGTTCGCGCTGTTTTCTGTGTGCTGGCTCTCTCTATTAACAAGTTTTGACGGGTTGGTTTCTTCTACTCGTACTGCAAGTGTAAGTGTAAACGACACACAAAAAGCAAACGAAAAAAATATACAAGAATTTGTGACGCGCATGCGTTTAGGTTTTCATTACATAAGCTACAAACTGGAATCTGGCAACACTGTGGCGATAAATCAGATACACTAATCGATAATCGGTTGCAGAATTTAAATTAGTTTCTGAATATTATTAACATTTGTTTATTTATATCTATGTTTTATAAAAAGAAATAATAATCTAATTTATAATTACAAATATTTATTTATTGTTTTATATCATTGCAGCAAATGGAACATACAACGAAGGATCGTTTAATGAGTTAAATTTAAAGCAGTTTCGTTGTGCTGGACAACAACAACTATAAGAAGAAGAAATAATAATAATAATAATAAAACAACGACACACACACACCCGATAACAAGAACAACGAGTGCTAAAATAGAACTTGCAAACCTACAGTTAACAGGAGGCGCACCAAAAAGGAAGCGTCGACTTGGTAGAAGTAGAGGCAAACGAAAGAGAGACAATACACGCACCGTTATGTTTGTGATGGCTAACAATGTAATGTGGCACAGTGTTGGAAATCGTTTATGCAATTTGAATGCGCGCCACCCACAATTAGCAGCCGCAAGCAGCGGTCAGGCAAACACCGCCGAAAAGAGCATTTCTGGTTATGCATTAGGCCCCCATAGGTTTGGGGGCACCATCACCAATAGAAGCAGCAGCAACTGCAGCATCAGCAGCAGCAGCTATAGGAACTGCAGTGCAACGCGACTAAAGTCACAAAATACAAAAATATTAAAGGAACAGCAGCAGCAACATCATCGGCGGCCGCAGCGGCAAAAGCTTTTAGTGAATAAGATGTCTAGTGAGGCAGTGTTGTGAAATGCCAAAAGTTAATACACAGCAGAAACCGCAGCAGCAAAAAGAGCAACAAAAACTTAGCACCAGTTAAAAGCAGCCTCCCCGCCCCATCTAACTTAGGTTTAAACTACTTCTATAAATATAGAAACAAAAAGAGATATTTATAAAATAAAATATTATTTTGTGAGCAATTGAATTTCGAAAAAATGCCCATGTCCACGCACGATACCGTCTTCGTGGAGCCTGTCGTCGGCAGCAGCGGCAGCAGCAGCGGCAACAACAGCAGCAGTAGTACCAGCAATAGTAGCGCCAGCACACGAATCGGGATCAGTGGGTCTCAGCAGCAGCATCCGCCACATATTGTAATTGATGGCAGCAGCTTGTCGACGCAGGCACAGCTGAAGCGGATTATGCAGCGACGAATGTCCATTCAGGCCCAGCCCGCCCAGAAGTACGCGGTGCGTACGACAACAGCGCAACAGCAACAGCAGCAACATTTGCCCCAACAGCAGCAGCAGCAGCAACATGAATTGCTCAATCCGCAGATCTACAAAATTGTCACGACCGATGGCAGCACCAGCAACGTCATCATCGACACCTCCGCTGCAACACCGCCGCATAACTCGAAGCTGTTGCTCAGTAATCTCACGGTGCTCTCCAAACAGGCGCCCGCCCTGTCCTCACAGTCGCAACACCAACAGCAGCAGCAGCAGCTCAGCTATGTGAATGCTAAGAATCTGCCGTATGTGACGGCAACGCCCACGCTCAAGCAGCAGCAACAGCAAAAGTTTGGCACAATTGGCGCCTACAAAGCTATGAATGCCAGCGCCAATGCCAAGCAGCTGCAGGGTTACGCACAGGCGACGCAGCAGGGTAGCGGCACGCCGGTCATGCAGAAGGTAACGCTGGGCTCACGGGTTGTGACGCGACTCCAGTCATATGTGGCGCCCCAGCAGCAACAGCAACAGCAGCAGCAGCAGCAGCCGCCGCAGATCATTGTACAGTCGGCGGCAGCGTCGCAGCAGAAATACGTTAGCAGGCCGGCGATAACGACAACGGCGGCGGCGCTGCTCAAGAAGGCCAATCAGAAAATAACTGTCAAAAGTGTTGGCAACATGTTACACCAGCAGCAGCATCAACAGCAACAGCAGCAACATCAGCAGCAGCAACAACAGCATCAGCAACAGTTAAAAGCAATCATCTCTTCACAGCAGGCAACACACAAGGCAGGCGTTAAAACCAAATTCGTCAAGCAGTACAGCAGCGCGTCCAGCGGCCTATCCATTGCTGCGGTGCCACAGCAGCAGCAACAGCAACAACAGCAGCAGCAGAATGCCTATGGCAAACAGCACCAACAGTTGACGCCCAATAAGCTGAGCAAACTGACTGCTAGCAGCAACACGAAATATGTATTGCAGCAGCAGCCACTGCAACAGTTAGCCGCCAACTTGCCACAAGGCACGCAGCTGCAGCAGAAGACCACAACGACGTCAGGGGGCGGCAGCGGCGGCTACATGTTGCAGCAGTCGACGGCAGGTGCCATCAAGTTTGTCAACTCACACGGCACCGTCATCCAGCAGCATACGCCCCAGAGCCAGGTCAAGCGCATTCACTACAACAGCAGCAGCAGCGACAGCAGCACCGATCACCACCAGCAGCAGCAGCAGCATCAATCCTCCTTGATCACAGACGATGTGATGATTGTGAATGGCACGCAGATGACAGATGAGCTCTCGGCGCGCATTCTGCAGAGCATGGCTCAAAAGTCCTTTAGCCAGCAGCAGCAGCGCTTTCAACAGCAGACAACACCAACATCAACACCAACACCAACACCAACATCAACATCAACAACAGCAGCGGCAGCAGCAGCAGCAGCAGCAGCAAATGCAAGCATGCCTCCGCCACAGCCAACGTTGACACCCACGCAAATTATATACGGAGGAAATAGCAGCAGCAGCAGCAGTAGCAATAGCAACAACAGCAGCAGCGGTAGCAATAGCAGCAACAACAACAGCAGCAACACTGCAACAGTAACGTCAAACAATCTGCTGTTGAGCCACTATCAAGCTGCAGCAGCCGCAGCAGCCGGCATGTCGCCCAGCTCGTCGTCAACAGCAACATTGACGCCAGCCTCATCGCCATCGCCCTCGCCAGCTACGTCATCGCCAGCATCTGGCTCGTATCTGACGGTGACTTCCTCCAGCGCGCCCTCGGTGAGCATCTCTTCGCATGGCTTTGCCAGCGGCAGTGCCGCAATGTCCTCCTACATGTCGGCGACGGCGGCGCGTCGTCAGTCGGTCAGTGCGCCCACCAGTCGAGCCACGTCGCTCGAGCGCAAGCAAATCCAGCAGCAGCAACAGCACCTGCTCCACGAGGCTGTGACAGCAGCAGCAGCAAACATGCGCAAACCGCCGCCCACTGTGGTCGAGTATTACAAGCACAGGTGAGTAATTGAGCTATTATAGTCAAAAGTAATGAACTTAAGTGAAATGAAAGTATAATAAAATAAATAAATATATAATAAGAAAATTAATCAAATACCTGGTTTTCAATCTGAGCGAGGAATAGAATTTAGAATATGATTTAAAAAAAAAGGAAACAAAAATTCAAAGACTTTGAGAAGAATGGGATTCTAAGGCTTCCACATAAAATGAATATGCAATAAATATAATGCAAAATTAATTAATGTAAAAATTACATCAGAAATTTGTAAAGATATGTATTTTTTATTATTATTTATATACCTACTTTTATTAGATTCTTTCCAGCATTCTCCTATTATTCTTAAACTTAATTTGCACTAGAATGTTGAATATAAGGTGATTACGATTATTTCTCGCAACACTGTGATAGAAATGAATAGGATTCTTCTATAATGCAATATATTATGAATGGGTATGGGAAAGAGAATTATATTTTAGCTATATACCAAACGAAAACTTCAATGATTCGCAGATTTGTCAGGAGTATTTGCTCACGATCTAGTTTGTTTTGCCTAGTGAGGCCACTTGACAGTTGCTTGAGCACTCAATTCAATTTCAATGGGGAAACGAAAAAAATGGTTGCCAAGTTCCTTTTTGTATACGGAAAAGTTGCCCTGATGCAGCTGTGTTGCCAACCTACTGGGCACAGATTCTCAGCTTCTATAGCTATCGATATCGAGAGCTCTGTTTAGTGACAGGTTTTGTTTCTACGTCGAGCCATTTCCTAACGAAAATTGTCAACGCGCACAACTAACGAAAAAATTAATTTCTGAAATTTATTGCAGCAGCAGCAGCTTAAGCAATTTAAACAGTGGCCTGCGCAGTAGCAACTCCAGCACGGGCTTAAATACAGCGATGTCAACGTCGGGCTCATCAGCGAGTCCACATTTGCACGTGGAGACAACGACGCTTTTGATGAAGCCTCAGCAGCAGCCGCAACAACAACAACAACAACAGCAACAGCAGCAACAACAGCTGAACGCAAACGAAGAGGAGCTGTACATAGAGGAAGTGCGTCCAGTGCCTGTGCACACACAAGACTTGCGTTTGCAGCAATTGCACGCCATAATGCAGGATCACACTTACGCCTCTCAGCAGCAGCAGCAGCAACAACAACAACAACAACAACAACAGCAGCAGTCGGCGATCGGTGGAGCTACAGCCGCGCAGCAACTGCAGCCACAGCAGTGGTCCCTTGGCGGCATTGGTGTCACTGTCAGCGGCTCCGCAACAACTCCAGGGGGCTTTAACAGTTTCTATGGACAACAGAGTAAGTTACTAACTTTATATAATATTATCAAAATATATATTAATATTTCGTTGTCTTCATTTACCCATCCAGTGGGCCGCCATGTGCCGCATGATGATGACGCGCACTCGGCTATAAGCGGGAGCTCACGTCTGGCCAGCGCCGATATTGATCCAGGCGAGGAGACGGAAACAGCGCCCGAGGCAGAAGCTGAGGATGATTCGGTTACCCGCTGCATCTGTGAGCTAACCCATGACGATGGGTACATGATCTGCTGCGACAAGTGCTCGTAAGTAGGCCAACTCTCTAGATTTTTGCGTTTACTAATCCAAAATATTGAATTGCACCATCAATAGCGCCTGGCAGCACGTGGACTGCATGGGCATCGATCGCCTCAACATACCCGAGGAGTATCAGTGCGAGCTGTGCCAGCCGCGCCCCGTGGACAAGGCCAGGGCACGTGCGCTGCAGCGCCAAAAGCGTCGAGAGCATATGCTGCTCGTGGCTACACAAGCGGCAAGTGGTGCGCCGCCTGCAACGGGAACTGCGGCAGCCGCTGTTGGCGCTTCAGCGGCAGCATCAGCAGCCAATTCAATGGGCGGAGCAGCAACAGCGACGGGATCCCTGCTGTACAACAGCCAAGAGCTGCCGCAACAACAGCAGCAGCAACAGCAGCAACAACAACATCAGCAGCAGCCACAACAACGGCTCGGAGCCGGCCCGAATGGTGGCTTCGGCCCAGCTGCTGGTGGCTTAACCAAGAAATCAAAGAAAACCAAAGATGGCGCAGCCGGCACGCTGAAGAAGAGCAAGAAGAGCGGCGACAAGCTGAATGCCAGTGGCGGGTCAACCGGCGGCACAGGAAGCTCCAAGTCGACAAAGAAGAGCAGCAAGCGCAAGAGCAAATCCGGCGGCGATGGCGCAGGTGGCAGCAGCCCAGCCTTGACTGCTGCCGAGAAGCATGCTGCCAACTTGCGTCAGTGGATTGAGCACTATGAGTACGCCGTAACGAATCATTATTCGCCCGAGTTGCGTGCCCGTCTGCATGCCATACAGAAGCAGCCCAGCCTCCTGCAAAGCATACAGAATACAGAGAATAAGGCGCTGCGTCTGATTGCTGGCGGCTGTGCCTCGGAGCTGGACAAGCGCGCCCAGCTGATACCGTATGCGGGTGCCAAGGTGTTGATCAGCAGCGTGGATCTGGCGCCGCATGCGCCCATCCATGAGCTGCGTGGCAAGTACATGCTGACCACGCAGTTTCGCACGCAGAATCCCACCGTGAACATGAATACGCCGCCGCCGAGCAACTATCTGAACAGCTTCAAGGTGCACAAGACGCCCGGACAGTTTGTGTTCTTCTACCAGCTTCCCGGCGTGGAGACGCCCATGCAAACGCATCAGCAGCAGGCGAACCATCAGCCGCTGCCCGCCTACCTCAAGGGACCCGAGGTGTGCGTCGATACGCGAACCTATGGCAACGACGCCCGCTTCGTGCGTCGCTCGTGCCGGCCCAATGCCGAGCTGCAGCACTACTTCGAGAAGGGTACGCTGCATCTGTATATTGTGGCGCTGACGCACATTCGAGCCCAGACGGAGATCACGGTGCGGCACGAGCCGCACGACCTGGCAGCTGTGGAGCAGAAGAAGTCCCACTCGGCGGTCATACAGCCGACGAGCACACGGTGCGCCTGTGATCTGGGCAGCGATTGCCTGTTCGCCCTACCGCTGGCTGTGCAACAGCAGCTGCAGGCACCGCCCGCTCAGCCGCGCAGCAGTCATCGCAACAAGGCCGCCGCTGCAGCGGCAGCAGCAGCAACGGCTGCCAATAGCGCCGCAGCAATACAGCTGACCATGGGTCTGGGCAGCACAGTGGCAGCGGCAACGGCACGCAATCGCTCCACCTCCTCCAGTGGCGAGAGCAGCAGCCACATGGGCCTCAACAGTCCGCAGCTGAGCCAGTTGAACTTGGGCTTTAAGCCCAGTCCGGCTGCCACGATGAGCACGATGGGCAACGGCGTGACGGCGGCGGCAACAGCTGCGGCAATGCTCTGTAATAGCAACAGTAACAGCGGCAACAGCAACAACTCGTGCTCCGTTTCCATGTCCAGTGTGCTGCATGACTCGGGCATTTGTACATCGTCCTCGTCGCCATCGGTGTCCATTCCATCGCCTACGCCCACGCAATTGCAGTCGCCCACGTTGCAGCAGCAACCGGCGCAGCAACAGACATCGCTTCTGCAGCGCAGTCCAACACAGCAGCAACAGCAGATACTCGCTGCATTGCCAACACCCATGTTGCTGTCGCCACAGCTGCTGCAGAAGCCGACACAGCAGCAGCAACCATCACTGTTGCAACACCAGCAGCAGCAACAACAACAACAGGAGCCGCTGGCGGTAATTGCAGCTGCAGCAGCGGCACAGCGACCGATGACTACTTTCTATTTGCAGCCGCAGTCTCCGCACCAGTCACAACAGCAAATCAATGTGCAGCGACAAGAACAGCAGCAGCAGCAACAACAACAACAGCAGCAGCAGCAGCAGCAGCAACAACAACAGCAGCAGCAGCAGCAATACGCACAGCAACAGCAACAGTTGGCTGATGAGGCACGCATGGCGGTTAGCGCATTACAAACTTTACATGCCACACCCACGGCGCACATGGCTACGCCCATAAAAATTACAACAACTCAGCCACTTAACCAACAGCAGCAGCAGCAACAGCAACATCAACAACTACAGCAATTCCAATTGCAACAGTCACAGCAACAACAGCAACATCAACAGCCATCACCCCAGCAGCAAGCACAGATTTATCAGACAGCAGTGTCGCCCACCAAAACGCCTTCAAAAGCGAACTCACAGCTCAACAACAACTGCAGCAGCAGCAACAATAATAATAATAACAATAACAACAATAGTATCAATTTAACTCCAACAACACGCAAAACGCCTGCAAAAGCAGCAGCAGCAACAACAACACCAACAGTTAATAGCTCCGCCGCACGCGAGGCCAAGGAGGAGGAATCGTCGACAGTCGCAACAGCTGCAAGCACGCCGGCAACATCAACGCCCGCTGCCAAAAAGGACAAGCCAAAATCTCGCGAGGAACGCAAGTTGGAAGCCATTCTGCGTGCCATCGACAAAATGGAGAAGCAGGAGGCGCGCGGCAAGAAGGCTAGCGCCGGTGCAGCGGCGGGTGCAGAGAGTCGCCAAGTGGGTGGGAAGCAGCGCATGAGCAATTCGCCAGCATCGCCGCGCAAACGCAATGCCAGCAGCAATTCCATGAGTGAGTCGGCCGACGGCAGCTCTCTGAATTTGGGCACGCCCACCAGCACCAACAACAACAACAACAATAATAGCAGCAAGGGTGGCGCAGCAAGGCGCAACAAAAAGAAGCGCAAAGTGAGTCGCAGCTACAACAACCACAATAATAACAACAGCAAGCGCAGAAAGAGTCTAAGTGAATCGGATGGTGAATCGCATAACGAATCGGAGCTGGCTTCACCGGCTCTACAGAATCAAAATCTGAATCTGAGTCAGCATCAGAATATAATGCAGCACAACAACAACAACAGCGCGCAACAGCAGCAGCAGCAGCAGCAGCAACAACAACAACAATCGACAGATCAGGCTGCGGGCTTGCTACTGGCATTGGCGCATAACAACTGTGAGCCCTTCAAGCCGCCAGCATCAACGTCTGCGGTGAGCAGCGCCTGTTTGCTAATTGAGGCAGCAATGGGTCCGTTGGAGCAGCAGCCAGAGCAACAGCAATCGCTGCAATCGCCATCCGTTGGGGAGTTCAAGTATCCGCCCAGTGGCGCCAAGACAAAGAAGTCGCTCATGTCCAGCTGGTTTCAGTCGGAGCAATGCGAGCAACAATCTGGACTGGACAGTCTAGTCCAAGCAGCCATGAGCGAAATAAATGGCTCAAGGGAGCAGCTGCAACAGCAACAGCAACAGCAGCAACAGCAGCAGCAACAACAGCAACAGGTGCAGCAAATTCCGGCACAGCAGCCGCAGCAACTGCAAATCGATGCTCCAGCGCTGCTCAAAGTGGAACAGTTCATACATCAAGTGGAGGCCACTGAGCGCTCGCAGATGCCTTCCGTGCAGAACAATTCGTCGGTGAAGAAGCGTTGGCTGCGCCAGGCCATTAGCGAAGAAACAACCGATGAGAATCAGCCCCAGGCAACGGTGACGCCTACGCCCAGCATATCGCCGTTGCAACAGCAACAACAACAACAACAACAACAGCAGCAGCAGCAGACGCCGCCTTTGCTCTCGAATGGCTTCAGCACGCCGTTGAAGAAGCGTCGTCTGGTGGTCGTCAGCAATGGTGGATTGGAGGCGACGGCGGTCGAGGAGCCGCACATCGATGTCATTGGCAGCGCCGGTGAGGAGGAGCACAAAGTGGAGCAATTGGAGCAGGCACAGACGGAAGTGCTGAAAGTCGAGACGCATCAGCACTTTGAACAGGATGACGATGTGGACATTTTGCGGTCGCCCAGTCCCGGCGCACAGCAAATCGTTGCTGAGGACAATCTGGTCAAGATTGAGCCGGAAGACACCAGTGCCGCCGCGGAGGATGTTAAGATCGATGTGGAGCGTGAGGAGAGTCAAGCGTGTGACAAGTTTGAAGAGTTGATCAATGTTAAGCGCGAGCAGGAGGAACAGCAGCAACAACAACAGCAACAGCAGCAACTGCAGCAAGAGCAACAACAGCCAGCCATCGCCAAGGTGGAGCCTTTGGCAGGAGAGAAGCAGCAGGTGACTAAAGTGGAGCCCAAGGCTGAGATTAAGCCGGAGCCATCAGCTAAAGTGGAGCCACTGCCCGAGCCCAAGCCAGGTGAATCATTGCTGCGCACAGCAGCAATGACTGCTATGCCGGCCAATGCTGCAACAGCAACAGCAGCAATTGAAACGGCGACTGTGGCTGAGACCAAGGCGACTGCCAAACCGCGCGCAGCAGCTGTGAAGGACGAGGATGAACCGCTTAAAAAGAAGCCCAAGTTGGAATCAAACTCAACAGCAGCAACAACAACAGCCGTAGCAGCATCAGCTGCAATGCCAGCAGCAGTAACAGCAGCAACCACAACATCTGCAACAGTTGCTGATGTAGCAACGTCAACCCCAACGGCGGCGACAACAACAACTGCAACAGCAATAGCTACGCCTTCAGCCAGCAGCAAAAACCTAACCGAGCTGGACATACAGGAGCGTCTCTTATCCTTCCATGCTGAGAACATCTCCTATTTGCAGTCGCGCAACAAAAAGGCAACTAGCAGCTGTTCCGGCAAGAGCAACAACAACAACAACAGCAGCACCAGCAATAATATTGCAGCCGGCGTTGACTTGCCCACCAAAAAGTCCAGCAAGGTGAAGAACGAGAAGCGCGAGCGCGACAAGCAGATCAAGAAGTCGAAAAAGGACAAGAAGAAGTCAAAGGAGAAGGACAAACTGAAGGCGGCAGCTATCGCAGCAGCCTTGGCCGTTGCTGCGCCTGAGGCCAAAAAGAAGCAGCCCAAAGAGACGAAGCAGCAATTCCAATTGCCAGCTGCTGTAGCAGCAACAACTCCCACACCTGCAACTCTCACACCTGTGACAGCGGCAGCAATAACAGCAACAACGAACGGCAAGACCAAACACAATAGCAACATGGTCGAACAACAGCAGCAGCAGCAGCAGCAGCAGCAATCGGCGCTACGACGTCGCACCATGTCAATGTGTGTTACGGCAGGCACGCCTACAACGCCCACTGTGCCAACAACTCCAGTACTAGGGGCCACAAAGAAGCGTCAGACCAACTTTGAGCAGGAGCTGACGAAGCCCAACAGCCAAATACTCAGCAGCAGTCTATTGCTTAATACCAGCAAAACACCGCAGCAGCATCAGCAAACGGCAGCAGCATCAGTAGCTGCGGCAATTGTTGCGCCAACAACAGCTCAGCAGCAGCATCGCAAGGAGAACAATCATCATCATCATCACCATCATCACCACCATCAGCCGCAGCAGCAGCAACAGCAGGAGGCAACCGGTTCTATAAGCTTGGCAGCCGCCATAGCCAGCGGCAAATTGACGCCGATCAGTCGACGGCGCGAATCTATGTGCGGCAGCAGGCAGCAAGCGCTCATTGCGGCCGCTATGAAAAAGGATAAGAAGGAAAAGAAGAAGAGCAAGAAAAAGGATCGTGAGAAGAAGCAAAAGGAGAAGGAGAAAGGCAAGCAAAAGGACAAAGACAAGGACAAGGACAAGGAGACAACAAAGGCTAAGGCCAATAATCAACAGAAGCAACAGCAGACTACTACAACAACTGCGAATGCAATGCCCAACAAGGCAGCATTAGCTAAGCCAGCCTTAACAAAGCCAGTCACAGCCACGCCCACGCCCCCTGTTCATTCAGTGCCCATATCAGCTGCTCCGATACCCGTACTAATCACGCAACCAACATTGTCAACGCCACCAACAGCAATGCCAACAGCAGCGATGTCTGTGCCACCTGTCGGTGCCCCCCTGCCGCAGCTGCCCTTCTACAACACCATCTATGGCAAATTGCAGGAGCCGCCTGTGATGCCGGCCATTGCATCGTTGGTGTCTTCGCCGCTGGCCAAAATGAGCAGCAGCAGCATCCCTAGTTTGGCCGAGTACTTGGAGGCAACCAAATCGAAGGCGGCGGCCGCAGCCGCAGCTGCAGCGACGGCCCAAACAGTCGTGGCTGTTCCACCTGCAAACTCAGCCGCAACAGCAACAATTGCCATGACAGCTAACAATGGGCTGGCAACAGCCCTGGAGAGCATGCCGCCGCCATCGACAACGCCGCTCAAGCTCTACACACGCACTGCCAGCCATGATCCTCGGTTAAATCCCATGCTGACCGTACCGGAGCCAGCGCCGATGCCGAAACGCAAGCTTTCGATTAGCGAATACCGCATGCGGCATCGGCCCTCGGTCGACACTGCGCCCACAACTCCGACAACGCCCACAACACCAACGGAGCGCTGCTTCGCCAAGCCGCAGACCATTAACAAATGCTCGCTGCAGTCGCCAGAACGCTACCAGGCAATGCGTGATCGACGCAATTCCATCAGCGTCCACCAGAATCAGAACAACAACAGCAGCAGCAGCGGCGCCGACAAGAATCATCTCTACCAGCAACAGTTGCCGCATCAGCAACAGCAACAGCAATCCCCCTCGGCGCTCAAAGGCAACGCGAAGAACTCTGTGATGAATTCAGCAGCGGCGACGCTGAGCACGGTCAACAGCATCCTGAGCACTGCTCACAAGCTGCACATGTTCGATGACAAGCCCAAGGGTAAGCTTTGAAGCTTAGCCTGAAGTCCATTTACTAATAGTTTTTGTTTAGCAGGAGGCCACTTCAATGCGGCACCCACGTTGCTGGAGCAACAGCAGGAGAAGATGAGCGAACGCTCGCGTTGTCTGCAGCGCACGATTTCCTGTGATTCGCGTGTCATTGAGCGCCTGGGCGCCGGTGCAACAGCTGGTGGCAACGCCAGTCTAGTGGACAAGGTGACTGGAGCGAGTGCCAGGCGTGATGCAACATAGAGGCTATGAACAGGTGAGTCGAGAGTTTCGATTAAAGATAAGACATTTTATTCATATTCGAATTTATTTCACGACAGGCATTAAATCAAAATCATAAAAGCAGCGGATCCTTCGGATAAACCGAAAATCTGACCTCAACTCGAATTAGCAATCAAAATCTGGATATTGAAAACAATCGCTGGCGTACCAATGATATATATTTATATATAGATATATACATATATGTATATATATGTAAATCATATATATGGTACGCGGCGCTCCTTATTTAAACAAATGTACAGCAAATCCGGACATAGATAGACAAAAGCAGTCACAGAGAAATTGAAACCTTATTATTTGTGTTGTAAACGGTATAACTCGCTATAATTAATACTACTTAAATATAAATATATATATATAAATAAATTATTTATATATATATTTATTTATATAAATATGTAATTGTTTTGAGTTTAAGAGAAGAAACGATGACAAGAATATAGTGAAGAGCCTTCTGCTAACGTAATTAGCAGTTCAACTGGTCGCGTTTTCTCGCAACAATCGATCAACTTATCTAATTCTACTCCATAAATATGTATCTTTATAATGTAGTATATATATAAATACTATATGTAGCGCTATAGACGTATATAATGCTTAGACATACAAAAGAATCACACACAAACAAACTACAACTAATTGAAAAGTTTATCAAGCTGTAAGCATTAGATTTCCTTTTGTTTTTAAAATAATTAAATGCATAATGTATTAATATTACTTTATACTTTAGCACTTTTAGTTGCGTAGACCTTCAAGAATTTTTACATTTATTTAAACTTATTGAAATATGCAAACAAAAACAAAAGCAAAGGCAACAACCGTGTACACAAAATATGATTATTGTTTTCTCTTACATTTTTTTTCATAGTCGTAATTAAAAGATTATATGAGAATAATAACACATTTAATAAAGAAAAGAAAGAATTGATAACAATATAACCAGGCTTAAAACGCAAGCAATACTATAAACCAAAATAAATGGAACTAAACTGTAAATAGGAATATTGCCAGAGTAAAGAGCGAATCGCATATTGTTAAATAACTGTATATAGAATCCAGATTAAATAAAATTAATCCGTTTCACCTCGAAACAACAATGCTAATGTAGTACGTAAGCTAAAAATTGAAAAAAGAGTACAAAAGGCGAGTTAATTGAACGTAATTAAATTTAAGCAATGCCTATAAAACCACAAATTTAAAATTTATATATATTGTACATAAAGAAGGGCCGTCGCGTATAAGATCAACATAAAACTTGAAATTCTATCCTCTTTAACAATAAATTTCAATATTTTTGTTGTAAAGAAAAACTTTTTCCGCTTAATTTCTTTCCTTAAACGCCCTGTGAATATGTATTTCTTTTAAATTATTAAGAAATTTTGAAAACCAAAATTATACCTTTATAATTTTATCATTTTACATTTAACATATAAATCGTTTATGTTCAAAGAATTTTAACTAAAATTAATTGACGAACAGAAATTCTAGAGTATATGCTGTTAAATATGGTTCAAATATTCAGTTATGTTTCGGAGATGGATCAGGCTTGGGTCTTATCCAAGAACTCTATGACCTGTGCTATCTCCATGAACATAATTTTGATCAGAATTGATTTTAGGTGTTTTTGTCATAAAATTGAGATATTCTTTACTTAGATTATATTCCTCAAAAAGTTTTATTACCTTAAAAACTTATACGCCTGACTTTCGACAAGTATTGCCGTATCAGTTTCCTCATCGTTTATATAATATTCTTTTGATCCAACCAATATAAACTAATTTTTAGTTCGAAAGCAGTCTTGAAACAATAAAGATTATTTTGTACAAGAATTTATTCTAATATATTTAAATTCTCTCGTTAACATTTAAAATCGGTCGGAGTATTGAAGTAGGAGCATAGAAATTAGATATTAACTTTTTAAGAATATGTTGTTTTTATGGGTTTATCTGTATATATATATATATATATATATATATATATATATATATATATATATATA